AGCAAGGCTTTGGGCATGTTTTTTATGAGAGTATAACATTATAACATGATATAAAACTCAAAAAAGTTGATTTTACATGATATTGCCCATTTAATGTAGTTTTAAAGGTATGACAAACGTTATCACAGAAATCTGAAACAGATCCAGGTAGCTGAAACTCAATGAACATCGACATGCAGATATCAGAGGTGAAGTGCAGACGTTTATCCCAACAAAGCTCGATTTGTGTTTGCTAATCCTAAAACTCCACCAACTAAAATCTGCAGCAGCTGCAAGATCCCATCATGTCAAACAAAATATCTGAGGAATGCTTGCAGTACTTTGTTGAATAAATGCCACAAGAGCCAGTATTAGCAAAATGCACATCACTGAGTGGCTCATTAGCATTATTAAATAAACTGTAGTGATTCTAAAATTAGATCATCAGTGTGTTTAAACTGTGACATTACTCCTTACTGTTTATTCAGATTTCTTGGTTTGCTTCCAGCTTTTTGCCAGTGTCTCTTGTTTCCCCCTGGATTTTACCTCACAACCAAGTATTTACTAAATGTGTGTGTGTGTGACAGTGCTGTGACCTGGGCTATCACGCTAGTCTGCACCGCGCCCTGAGGACGTACCTGTCTGCAGAGCAGAATGTGGAGACGTCCAAACACACGGGGCTGGAAACGCTGGAAGGAGCAGCCGACAGTCTGGAGCCCAACGGGGACAAACAGAAACTGATGGAGACCTACAACAACGTCTTCTGTCCACCAGCTCGCTTTGACTTCCAGTCTCACATGGGAGACACTGTATGCTTCTTCCTCTCATTCTGGTCAAAGTTAACCAACATCTGAGACAAAAAAAAGTGAAGTTAATGTTGGTTATTCTTTTCTGTAGATGGGAGTGGTTTGTTCACAGCCGCCGCTGGAGGAAGACTTGCTCCARAGGTGTCAGCAGCTGCAGACCCGCCTCTCCACTCTAAAGATTGAGAACGAAGAGGTTAGGCAGTTTTCTGGCTTTATTGCGGAATCAGCACTTTTTTTAAACAAATTAACTCATTAATGTGATTTTRTTTTGCTTCTCCTCACTGTCCACCAGGTGAAGAAAACCATGGAGGCCACCCTGTCCACCATTCAGGACATGGTGACAGTGGAGGACTACGACGTCTCCGAGTGCTTCCATCACAGCAACAGCATGGAGTCAGTGAAGTCCAACTTCAGCGAGTCGTATCTGAGCAAACCCAGCCTGGCCAAGCGACGGGCCAATCAGCAGGAGACGGAGCAGTTTTACTTCACAGTCAGTGACGTCTTTGGGCATCATTTTTCACAAACATTAACCGAGCAAAACCTCGAATTGACAGAGATACACGCTTTGCTTTTTCCTAAATGAATCAAATTCAGAGTCAGTTTTTGTGTGTGTGTGTGTGTGTGTGTGTGTGTGTGTGTGTGTGTGTGTGTGTGTGTGTGTGT